CAGGATCGCGCGGTATCTCGTCCTGTCGCGAAACGCAGAGAGTTCGGGTGGCGGCCCTCCTCTGCCGTCGCTTCCGGACACACCCGCCGAAGGGCGCAACGGCCCCTGTTCAACCGTCTGATGACGGGCGCGCGCCAGATGTGGAGAGGACGCAACCCCTCGTGGCAGCCCGGAGAGGACCTCATCGTTGGGTTCGTGGGACTGTGGTACATGGTCGATGAGGCCCATATCGTGTCCATCGGAGTCAGGAGCGAGTATCGCGGCCTCGGTCTGGGCGAGCTGCTATTGATCTCCGCAATCGAGCAGGCCATCGAAACGGAATCGCGAGTGGTGACCCTGGAGGTGCGGGTCTCAAACCATGTGGCCCAGAACCTGTACAAGAAGTACAGCTTTACGGAGCGGGGTGTGCGAAGAGGCTACTACTCCGACAATAGGGAGGACGCGCTGATCATGACCACTGAGCCGATCAGGCACGATACCTACCGGGAGGAACTGAAGGGCCTTATTACTTCCCATGAGAAGCGGTGGGGACCGTGCCCCCGTCAGATCGGCTGACTCCGCTCACAGAACCGTATGCGATCTTACCAGCATCTAATGGCATACCGAGCCACTAAATCGGGAGCCTTGAATACATGTCCACATCACAAATAGCCATACTGGTGGCTGTCTGCCTGATCGCCGTAGCAGTAGCCTGTTCGACAAGTAACTCGGACGGCGACGAAACGGAAGTGCCTCAGCCACGAACCGAGGCGCGTGAAGCCCCCACCTCAACGTCCGTTCCAAGCGCGTTGGTGCAGTCAACTGCGCCAACGCCGGCGACCGCAGCGCCCCCTGCAACCTCGGCCCCAGCTTCGACGTCTACGTCCGTTCCAGCGATGCCCGACCCAACCTCGACGTCCTTGCCGGCTCCGACCTCAGCCCCGGCAAGCCCCTCGCCTCAGAGCGCCGCGACATCAGATGCGTCGGCCCCTGCCACGGTCACGTCTGAAGCTGAAGAGCGCGATCTCAAAATCGTGACTCTGCTCCCATTTGACGCGATTCCGGCGATACTCGAACCGGAGTTCACAAGCGCTGAGGAGGCCGACGCGGAGCTGGAACCTCAAAACCTGGTGCTTGGCCTGTCCATTAACGGCGACCATCGAGCGTACTCGATTCCGACCCTCAGCTCACACGAAATCGTCAACGACACGGTTGGAGGCAAACCGGTCGCTGTGACGTGGTGACCGCTGTGCTTCTCGGCTATCGTGTATAGCCGCACCATCGGGGACGAAGAGTACACTTTCGGAGTATCCGGCAAGTTGATCATGAATGCGCTGGTAATGTACGACCATCAGACCCGCACCCTTTGGAGCCAGTTCCTCAGAAAAGGCGTGGAGGGAGAGCTCGAAGGTGTCGAGCTGGACGTGGTCCCGGTCACCCAGACAACCTGGGCGACCTGGAAGGAGCTTCACCCAGACACGAAAGTCATGACAACGGGCGGCCTCGGCACCTACGACAACTACAACGGGTACTACATGAGCGATAAGCCCGGAGTGATCGGCCAGGCCTACGAGGACGACAGGCTTCACGACAAGGCGCTGGTTGTCGGCGTCGACTTCAACGGCGTCACGAAAGCATACCCGACGGCCGATCTGTTGAACAACCCAGTCGTGAACGACGACGTCGGCGGACAAGCAGCGCTGGTCTACATGGACGGGCCGACCGGCACGACACTAGTCTTCGATCGCACAGTAGATGGTCGCGAACTGACATTCGCGATCGACGGCGAGCCGAACGGGATTCTTACAAAACTGGTGGACGAGGAGACGGGAACAATCTGGTCAGCGTTCAGCGGCCTTGCCGTTGAGGGCGAGCTGTCCGGCGCGAGATTGGAGCGTCTGCCGTCACACCTGTCGTCTGGTTTGCGTGGACGGACTGGTACCGCGATACCTGAGCTGTTTACGAGTTGACACCCAATCTATCTGCCTCTTAGACTCCGAACCGGGCGGCCGCCCCCAGAGAGACTCAGACAGGTGGAGACGCGATATGCCCGATGACGCGCTCGGTAAACCGAACATCATCGTCATCCTGGTGGATGACATGGGCTACTCGGACATCGGATGCTTCGGGTCGGAGATACGCACGCCCAACCTGGACTCGCTTGCGGCAGGCCGGCTGCGATTTTCGCAGATGTACAATGCGGCGCGCTGCTGCCCCTCCAGGGCCGCACTGCTGACCGGCTTGAACCCGCACCAGGCCGGCGTGGGTCACATGGTCGCCGATCTCGGAGTGCCCGAGTACCAGGGCTATCTGAAGGAGAACGCGGTCACAATCGCCGAGGCGCTCAAGGCAGACGGCTATTCCACTTTCATGTCCCGGCAAGTGTGGGTCACGTGGGCGGCGACTACATTGGCCGCCGACGATCTCGTGGACTCCAGCCGCTCCCACGTCTCCAACTCCGACACAGCGCGGTGTTCGACGTACCGCTATGTCGGCATCCTGACCGGAGCGGGCAACTTCTATCCTACGTCCCAAGACCTGATGGACCAGGACACACTAGTTCCCCTTACCGACCTAGACGAATTCTACCTGACCGATGCGATCAGCGACAACGCGGTGAGCATGATCGGCGAGGCGGTATCTCAGGGACCAAACCCTGTTCTCAGGTACGATGCTATACTACTGCGCCGCCTGGCCTCTGCACGACGGCGTGAGGACCTCGCGCGCTACGAAGGCCAATACCGAAACGGATGGGAAGAGCTGCGCACCAGCCGGCACGAACAGCTGAAGAGCGAGGGCCTGGTTGACGAGAAGTGGGAGATCAGCCCCCGCGATGCTGACAGCCCTCCATGGGACGATGTCGTTGATCCGGACTGGCAGGATATTCGCATGGCCGCTATACGCCGCCCAGATCGACCGCATGGACCAGGGCGTGGGCAGAATCCTGGAAGCCCTGCGCTCCGGGGGTGTAGTCGACAACACACTCATCATGTTCCTGTCGGACAACGGCGGGTGTGCCGAGTTCCTTGCCGAAGACGGCAGCATGCCCCAACCCGCGAGGTACGGAGGTATCAATCCTGACGGCACACCAGTTGTCGTCGGAAACATCCCCGGACTCCGCCCAGGAGGTCCACAGACCTTCATGAGCTACGATTTACCGTGGGCAAACGCCTCCAATACGCCGTTCCGCCGGTTCAAACGCTGGACGCACGAGGGCGGAATATCCACGCCGCTCATCATGAGTTGGCCAACGAGGATTCAAGAGTCCGGCATCGTGCACTCACCTGTCCACCTCATCGACATTATGCCCACCTGCCTGGATGCCGCCGGCGCCTCGCACCCAACTGAGCGCGCGGGCCAGCAGACCATCCCTCTCGAAGGCGAAAGTATGCTGTCCACTGTCAATCGCGGGGACTGGGAGCGCGAGAGTCCGATAATCTGGGAGCACGAGGGCAGCAGGGCCGTGAGACAGGGGCAGTGGAAGCTCGTGTCCGCGATAGGCGGCGGCTGGGAACTCTACAACATGGAACGCGACCGCACGGAGTTGGACGACTTATACGCTCGAAATCGCTCCAAGGCCCAGGAGTTGGAGCGAATCTATCAAGAGTGGGCCACCGCTGCGGCGTGCTGCCGTGGTCCGTCATCAGCCCGGACTGGAACCCGAGGATGCGCGGCCAGAGCGTCCATCTTTCAGGCTAACGCCCTATACTGCGCCCCCGAACCGTCGTTTCAGCGGAGGCTGGAACCTGGCGACGAGACCAGGGAGCCCGACACCCGAAGCCTGACACCAACCATTAAACACTGACTACAGAACACTAGGACACATCCCATGCTCGTCGCCAAAGTAATCAACAAGATCGCCGTGGTAGAGATCCACGGTGGAATCGGCGGAAAGATCAAGTCGCCGGACATGGAGAAACTGGTCAACCGCATACTCGAGGACAAGCGTCTGCGCGCGGTGGTGCTGGATATAGACTCCCCCGGAGGAGACGCGGCCGCATCGGACTACATCTACCGCGCTCTCAAGAGAGTCGCGCGCCGCAGGCCTGTTGTCGCGAGCATACGGGGGGTGGGCGCGTCGGGAGGCTACATGATCGCCTGCGCCGCCCACCGTATCGTTGCGGCGCCGGGGTCGATAGTAGGCTCGATCGGCGTAATATCAGTCCGGCCCGTGCTGCAGGAACTGCTCGAACGCGCAGGTATCGGGGTGAACGTCAACAAAAGCGGCGAATTCAAGGACATGGGCGCGCCCTGGAGGGAGACGACCCCCGAAGAAGAGGCGAAGATGCAGGAGCTTATCGACGACCTGTACAGCTCATTCGTAAACATCGTCTCAGAAAGCAGGGGGATCGAAGATGAGCGGGTGCGCGAGATCGCGACCGGTGAGGTCTATCTCGCAACACGCGCCGTCGAACTCGGCCTTGTGGATGAACTCGGCGACCTCGAACGCGCCCTTGATCTTGCCGCTAAAGCGGCGGGAATCTCCAAGAGGACAGTCTACCTCAGGCCTCAGAGAAACCTCATGGAGAAACTGCTGGGACCTCTCGCCGACAGCATGGTCGGATCAGTGGCCAGCCCATGTGGAACGCCGACTGTGGCAGGGTCGCCACGGCTTGTAGATCCAGATGCACTACCGCACTCTCGGCAGGACGGGACTCAGGGTATCTCTTCTAAGCCAGGGCACCGGCGGCCCAAGTATGTTCGGGCAGAATAGCGGCGCAACTCAGGCAGAGCAGGACAGACTCATACACAGCTGCCTGGACCTCGGCATCAACCTGTTCGACACTCACGAGGGGTATAGGGACAGCGAGGAGATCCTGGGCCACGCGCTGAGCAGCGTACCCAGAGACCGCTACGTGCTGGTCACCAAGTGGACGTATCCGAGAGACGGAGATCCCACAGCCGACCCTGAGGACCTGACGCGATCGGTAGAGGGCAGCCTGCGCAGGCTCAACACCGACCACATAGACGTAATGCTTCTGCACGGACTTCTGGCCGAGCATAATGACATGGCCGTGGAGAAGTACGGCCCCGTGTTCGACAGACTCCGAGAGCAGGGCAAGATCGGTCACAGGGGATTCAGCCTCAGATACATCACCGATCCCGAACAGAATGGGGCACTGGCCGGTCTCAAGCGGGCATCCGAGTTCTGGGACGTCATAATGCTGAAGTTCGGCATACTCAACCAGTGGGTGGCGCGGGAGGTGTTGCCCCTCGCGCTCAGGCATAACGTTGGGATACTGAACATGGCCGCGGTCAGGATCAGGCTGCCCAAGCCCGATCTGCTCGAAGAAACGATAGCCGAGTGGAAGTCGCGCGGGCTACTGTCACGCGATTCGATACCGGACAGGGACCCGCTCGGATGGCTGGTCCACGACGACGTGGACTCGGTCATCAGCGCCGCGTACAAGTTCGCCGCCGACCACCCGGCAATATCGAGCGTCATCACCGCACGTCGAATCTGGCACACATGGAGTCCAACGTCAGAGCGATGGAACGACCCTACCTCCCCCACGCCGACCGCGTCTGCCTGGAACGCATCTTCGGCCACATCGCGGAGTATGCGTGATGTGGCCGAGAATTGGACAAAGTTCGTAAAATTCTAGTCCAAAATACTGAAGACGGAATCATGAATATGATAAAATAGCCACTGGCGAGAGGCCGTAACGCGACTCAAGGATCGCGCTCTACGCCCCGCCTCGTTTGATCGACTCTGGTTGAACTTTTGCGTGGAGCACTAAATCCTTGGAAGCACGAGAATCTTCCCATTCTCGCCGAAGTATTGGACGTGAATTGTCCAATACTTCGGCAGACGTCATTGGGACGACACCTTCTGTCGATTCCCTGAATCCTTCCGGCCCGCCCGACGTGAAAAGTCTGGTCGCAGCACCCGGCGCGACCGATGCGTTGGAGGGAGCTAATCAGGACGTCGCCGGTCTGCCCCCAGGCATTCCGGGAACTGACTCAACTGACGTTCCTTCCGATGTGAAAGAGCCTGATAGCAGCGGATTCTCCTGCGGCCGAGTTCACAGGCGCAATAGAGACTCCCACTGCCCCGGCAACACGACGGCGATTCCGCCCGCACATTCGTCGTCCACATATCAGGCCCGTTCACATGCCGGCGCGGGTCCGCACGTTCGATTCTTTCCAATATCCCAGCTACCTGTTCCTATGGCTGGCGACAGTGTTTTCGTCCGCCGGATTCTGGCTGCAGCAGGTGGTCGTAGGGTGGCTGACATACGAAGTTACGGAGTCTGCCTTCTGGACCAGCCTTGCCCTCGGCCTCGACGCTCTCCCTATCCTGCTTGTCGGGCCCTTAGGCGGTGTGCTGGTAGATAACTTCGACCGTAAGAGGCTGCTTGCGGTCATTTACAGCTACCAGGCCGTAGTTACGTCAGTGTTTGCCGCGATTGTTCTGACTGGCAATCTCGAAGCGTGGCACATCTTCGTCTTCATCTTCGTCATGGGACTGTCCTGGGTGGTCAGCGACCCGGCGCGAATGTCGCTCATTGCGAATATCGTGCCCAGGGAGAACCTTGTTAACGCCTTCGCGTTGAACTCGATGGCATTCTCAGTGACCCGGCTGGCGGCTCCGGCCATCGGAGGAGTGCTGATAGCCGTAGTCGGCACCGGACCCACGCTGGTTCTGGAGATCGCGCTCCAGGCATGTGCGGTCTGCACCGCGCTATACCTTCAGGTGAGGAAGACAGACAGGCCGGCGATGCGACTGCCGACCGTGTTTTCAGATCTCCGTGAGGGAGTTCGCTACGTGCTGGGCGAGCCTATTCTGATCGGGCTCTTCGTACTGACGGCCATGCCTTCGCTGCTGATAATGCCCTCGATCCAGGGACTTTTGCCCGTTTACGCTGCCGAGGTGTTCCACGTGGACTCAAAGGGGCTCGGCCTGTTGCTTTCTGCCATCGGGGCCGGCTCGACGGTGGGCACATTCGTACTCGCATCTGTGGGCAACATCAAATGGAAGACGGCAGTGTTGCTGGTCAGCGTGATCGTTCTCGCCCTGGCAACGGCGGTGTTTTCAGTCAACGTCATCTTCCACACGGCGTACCTGAATCTGATGATTATCAGCGCTGCGATGATGACTCTGTTCTCAGTCAGCAGCGCGACAGTCCAGGGCATGGTCCCAGACCGATACAGGGGACGCGTCTCAGGCCTGTACATGTTGACATGGGGGATGTTCCCCCTTGGGAGCGTAACAACCGGTTTCCTGGCGGACCGTCTCGGCGCGCCACATGCAACTCAGATCGCGGCTGGAACGATGCTGGTGCTGTTCTTATTGGCAGTGTGGAGGATCAAGAGCCTGAGGCAGGTGAGACCGACGAGCCTCTAAACGGTTCACCGGACTTCGCCTCTCTTGGCTTCCTGCCACAGCTCTTCTTTCGCGTCGAGGGACAGCGACTCGAAATCGAGTCCGCGGCTTCTGGCCAAGCGCTCAATCGTCGTGAACCTTGAGTAGAACCTGCGGTTGGGCGTCGAAGGGCGGTCTCAGCCTCGATTCCCATCCAGCGGCTCGCGTTGACCATAGAGAACAGCAGGTCGCCCAGCTCCATTTCGCGGGCGTCGTCGCTCTCTGCCGTTTCCAACTCCCGAAGCTCCTCCACGACCTTGTCCAACACGCCGGGATAGGCGTCCCAGTCGAAACCCATCCGCGCCGCTCGTCCCTGTACAGCTTGAGCGTAGCCCATAGCAGGCATCGCCTTTGGTACGCCATCCAGTATAGACCTGTCGGTGCCTGCCATCTCCTGGCGCTTTATCTGGTCCCAGCGCGGTACTGCCTCCTCCGGGTCCTCCACCACGGCGTCTCCGAAAACATGCGGATGCCTACGAACCAGCTTTTCGATGACCTGCCGGAAGACGTCTGCCCCGCTGAAGTCCCCCTGCTCCTCGGCGATCTGGATCTGCGATGCGCCATGAAAGAGCACGTCGCCCAGCTCTTCAGCGATCTTCTCCACGTCGCCCTCTTCGATTGCCTCCACGAGCTCGTAGCACTCCTCGAGGAAGAGATGTTTAAGAGAGTCGGCGGACTGATCCCTGTCCCAGGGGCAGCCGTCAGGCGAGCGCAGCGTCGCGACGAGTCGCTGGATTCCTTCGAAGCTGCTCGGAAAGCTGCTGTCTTTCACTGCCGTTCACCTCTCTGTTGACACCCTTAGACCTCGACCATAAGATGCTACCTCATGACGCCCACGATTGACATCGCAACCCCGGTTAAACTTGTGATCGCGGTACTGTTCGTCGCGTTGGCGCCCGTCTTTCTGATAGCGTTCAACGTCCGTTGGGTTATCAACTTCCCGCCCCTTTACTCATACGGTTTCGACCGATACGACATCGCACGATACACTGGAATCGAGCTCGATGAACTGACCTCGGCGGGAAAGCAGATTCGCGACTACTTCAACAACGATGCCGACCTGATCGAGATCCGCGTCGTCGTTGCCGGTGTCCGCGTCATGAACCTCTACAACGAACGTGAAGTGCTGCACATGCGCGATGTGAAGGGCCTGGTCAGGGGCGTGTATCGAGTATCGGAGATTAGCGGGCTGTTTCTGGGCCTCGTGATCGCGGGAGGATTCTGGGTGTGGCGTCGCGATTTCTGGCCGAAGCTGAGCAGACTGCTGCGATGGGGCGGGGGCGTGACGCTCGGACTGGTGGCGCTTGTAGGTCTCGGTTCGCTGGTAGGCTTTGACAGGCTGTTCCTGGCGTTTCACCTGATCAGCTTCAGCAACGACCTCTGGCAGCTCGACCCCGACGCGACTATCTGATAGCGATGTTCCCGCAGGGGTTCTTCTTCGACGCCACCATGCTCATCGCGCTGGCTGTGATCCTGGAAGCCATCGCGTTGGTGGTAGTCCCCAGGTACCTGCCAACAATACCCGAAGTAGAGTCGCAGATGAAGACAGCAGAACAGGTGAGGGAACCAAATGCCAGTTAGCGGATTGGATATCAGGTTCAGACGACCTATGGCCGACGGCAGATCGTGGGGCGACGTCGGGCCCTATGAGGAGATTCGGGGTACTCTTCGCTTCACGATCGATCCTGAGAATGACGCCAACATACGTATCACGGACGCTGGCCGTGCGGCGAGAGACAGCGACGGCAGGGTCGAGTTCTCATCCGATGTGTCGATCATTCTACCTGCCGACCCCTCCAGGGGCAGCGGGAGGCTTTTGCTGGATGTCGTGAACCGGGGTAATCGCGTCGCGCTCCCGAACTTCAACAGTTTCAAGCAGCCGACAATCGACGCCGGCGTGAGCAAAGACGCGGACATCAGCCTCGGCAACGGCTACCTTATGGAGCGCGGCTACACCGTTATCGCGTGCGGCTGGCAGGGCGACACACCCGAGTCACCAGCGTTGATTACCATGGACGGCCCCGACGCCGAGGACGAGAGGGGCAATCCGCTGGTAGGCAGTGTGTACACACAGCTCCAGAGCGTCGACGACACACACAACTTCCTGCTGTCCGACAAGGGGCACAGGGCATACCCGGCCTACGACATGAACGAAGCCGCCGCCCGCCTGGAAGTGCGCGACATGCCCGACGGTCCCGCGAGTCTCGTGCCGCGCTCGTACTGGCGGTTCGGTAGGATCGAGGACGATGGCACATACGTGGCGGACCCCAACTACATTTGCACCGAAGGCAAGTTCGAGAAGGGCCGAATCTATCAGATTGCCTACACGACCGTCGGTGCTCCGGTCTTGGGCTTGAGCTTCGCGGGGCTGCGAGACTGTGTTTCCTGGTTCAAGTACGGGTCACAGAACGCCGAGTCGCCCATAGACATCAGCTACGCGTACGCCTACGGTCGATCTCAGACTGGACGCTACCTGCGCACGTACATCTATAACGACTTCAATCGCGACGAACAGGGACGTGAGGCGCTCGACGGTATAATCGCCAATGTGGCGGGAGGAATGCGGGGCGAGTTCAACCAGCGGTTCGGCCAAAACTCGAAGGACCGCAACAGCATGCTGGCCCAGCTGTTCCCGGTTTCGAGCGTCGAACAGACCGACCCTGAGACTGGTGTGACGGACTCCCTGCATCGCAGGGTGGACGAACGCGGCAGCCCGCTTAGAGTGTTCTACACCAACACGTCAGCCGAGTACCACAGGGGCGACGCGTCGCTCATCCACACGGATCCAGACGGCACGATAGATGTCGATCCCGGCCCGAACGTCCGCGTGTACCACTTCACCGGAACCGAGCACGGCACCGGCACATGGCCCCCGACAGACACCTCCGATTCGGGGGAAGGTGTCAGCCGCACCCAGAACATGCGGAGCACAATCGACTACACTCCGCTGCTCAGAGCATGCCTTGAGAACCTCGACAGGTGGGTCGCCGAGGGGGTGGAGCCGCCGCAGAGCCGCCATCCCAGGCTCGACGACGGCACTGCTGCTCCACCAGCACAGCTCAGGGGTGTCATGGACGCCATTCCTGGATCCAACTACCCGAGCCGGCATCCCTTGCCCCACAGGCGAGACTACCAACTAAAGGCCGACGTGGAGCAGGTGACGAAGATGCCGCCTGACGTTGGCAAAGTGTACGGCTCGCTGGTGCCCAACGTGAATTCCGATGGAAACGAGGTCTCCGGGATAACCCTGCCTGAAATCTCCATGCCGTTGGCAGCCCACACCGGCTGGAACCTGCGACACCCCGACATCGGGGGCGAGACTCAGCCGCTAATGTACGCTGGCGCCACCATGCCCTTCACAAGGAGCAAAGACGAGCGCGACGCGTCCGGCGACCCGCGGCCCTCTATCAGCGAACGGTACTCCTCAAAGGAGGAATACCTCGCACGCGTGAAACAGGCAGCCGAGTCGCTGGTCGCAGAACGTCACCTGTTGGAACAGGACGTCAACACATGCCTGGCACAGGCTGGGAAATTCTGGGACCGGTTCGCGTGAGAGCGTGAAGACTTTACCATAGATTAGTGTTTAATCTAAAATTGGGTCGACTTAATATCCGTAACGTGATTTACAGTTGCAAGAAAGGAAACTGAATGGCCACCTGGACACCTGATCCGACCTTCTACCCTTCGCCCAAGATGGCGATGGATGCCCCCCAGGAGGAGCTCGCATACGTTGCGATCGTCAACCCGACTAGCGACGGAAAGCCGGACGCGCTCGGTGTCATCGACGTCAACCCAGACTCTTCCACCTACCAGCAGGTTGTCGGCCGAATGGAGATGCCAAGCTCCGGGGACGAGCTGCACCACTTTGGTTGGAACGCCTGCAGCGCGTCGCTGTGCCCGAACATGCCTCACCCGCATGTTGAGCGACGGTATCTGCTGCTAGGCGGTCTGCGATCGTCCAACATATATGTTGTGGACACCAAGGATGATCCCAGGAACCCAAAGATCACGAAGGTCATCGAGGCAGACGAGTTCCAGAAGAAGACCGGGTACAGTCGTCCTCACACGGTCCACTGCGGGCCGGACGCTATCTACATGAATGCCCTCGGATCGCCGGACGGCAATGGTCCGGGTGGGATATTCATGCTCGATCACGATACTTTTGAGGTGAAGGGCAAATGGGAGGCCGACCGCGGCCCACAGGTCCTTTCGTACGACTTCTGGTGGCACATTAACCACGACACCATGATCACCAGCGAGTGGGGAACACCCAAGATGGTGGAATCGGGAATCGTTCCCGAACTGCTTCTGGACGGCCAGTACGGTCATCAACTACACGTCTGGGACCTCAGAACTCGCAAGCACAAGCAGGTGATCGACCTGGGAGCCGAGCAGCAGATGGCGCTGGAGCTCCGGCCCGCGCACGACCCTCGAAAAGCGTACGGGTTCGTCGGAGTCGTGACCAGCCTGAAAGACCTGTCCGGGGCAGTCTTCGTATGGCATCAGGACGGCGACGAGTGGACGGCCACGAAGGTCATCGAGGTTCCGGCCGAGCCTGCCGACCCTGATCTTCTGCCCCCGCTTCTGAAGGGCTTCAGCGCGGTGCCGCCCGTCATAACAGACATCAACCTCAGCCTGGATGACAAATTCCTGTACGTATCGTGCTGGGGCACAGGCGAGTTCCGACAGTATGACGTGTCCGACCCCTTCGACGCGAAGCTCACCGGCTCCGTCCACCTGGGGGGAATCGTCAGGAAGGCTGCACATCCGAACGGCACGCCACTGAACGGCGGCCCGCAGATGGTCGAGGTGAGTCGCGACGGACGCAGGATCTACCTGACCAACTCGCTGTACGTCGCGTGGGATGAGCAGCTATACCCGGAAGGCATAAGGGGCTGGACTACCAAGATCAACGCATCGCCGGACGGTGGAATGGAGGTAGACCCGGACTTCTTCATGGACTTCGGCGACGAGCGTCCACATCAGATCAGGCTGGAAGGCGGAGACTCCTCTTCCGACTCATTCTGCTACCCAGACTGATCAGCCTGGGTTACCGGAGCGAGGGGCGGTGGAAATAGTCGAGTTCTGGCCTTGGCTGGCACTGGCCGCATTGGGTGCATACCATGGAGTCAACCCTGCGATGGGTTGGCTCTTCGCGGTTGCGCTCGGCCTCCAGGAGCAGAGCAGACCCGCGGTACTCCGCGCTTTCGCGCCGATAGCCTTGGGTCACGCCGTTTCAGTCGCAGTCGTGGTTGCGTTCATGTCGGCAAGCCTCACGGTAGTCCCCATAGACATTATGAGATGGGTCGGCGCGGGCGCGCTGATCGCCTATGGACTATACAAGTTGCTGTGGCGAAGCTCACACCCGCGCTGGGTCGGGATGCGAGTGGGATTCAGGGATCTGACGTCATGGTCGTTCCTTATGGCGTCGGCGCACGGCGCAGGCCTGATGCTCGTGCCGGTGCTGTTCAACCTGCCCGGATACGGTCCTTCCGCCGCAACGGCAATCAACGCGCGCGACCTCCCGCACTCCGAGTACATGCTCCTTGGGAGCGGGGCCGTCCGTCTCAACCGCGGTCTCGCAACTGACAGCGATTGGAGTTCACACCGTCGCGATGTTCGCTGTAATGGCGATTGTCGCCATCGTGGTGTACGAAAAAGTCGGCTTGGCGCTCCTCAGAAAGTCATGGTTCAACCTAGACCGCGTGTGGGCAGCGGCCCTAATCGCGGCCGGAGTGGTTACCATACTGCTGTAAGCCCGCCTTCACCCGAAAGGAAGGAAACGCCGCCACCCGACCGATTATGGGACAGATTGTAACCCAAGAAGTCTTCCAGCGACTCTCGGCGCACCTTAGTCGTTACATCCGTATCTTCTTCTCGCCTGACAGGTACGCCTCCGGCTCTTTCTGGGAAGGCTCGGTTGCAGCCCGGACCGCAGAAGTAGTACGTCTCGCCCTCGTGGTCGTAGCTCCCACCCGGCGGTTACGCACATTCACCTGCATATCACAGACGGGGTCGGTGGCGCGGTCGGAGCCGCTTCTGTTGAAACAGTGGAATTCTCATTTGGTGCCTCCCTGGAGCGGGTCGTCGACTGCCGATGTCATCAGGCGCTCGGCCTGAACCTCTTCAGTCGTAGTGAGTTGGATACGACGGTTTAACGAGCTGAGCGCCATCGCTCTGCGGCGAGGACGGGGTTGAGGAAGCCGTGGTCCCGAGTATGGGACTCAGACCCTCCGGGACCCTGAGCCGGAGAGAGAAGAACGGGTACAGCACTCCGCGGCGACCGGATGAGCGCGACGTTATAAGCGAACGCCCAAAACAGGCTTCTGCCTGATATTACTCGCATGGTCGCTCGGCTGAGATCGATAGGCGGCAGGCATCTCCAAGAGATCGTCAACCCACCAGGGTATGTCTGCGGCCTCAATTGCGACGTCCGTCCCCGTGCCTATGGCGATTCCGATGTCGGCCTGTGCCAACGCGGGCGCGTCGTTGATCCCGTCGCCTACCATCGCCACGACCTTGCTCGGCCATGATCTCCTGGATCCTCTCGGCTTGTCCGATGGCAGCACCTCGGCGATCACCCTGTCGATTCCGACCGCGGGCGGCGACAGCCTTGGCTGTACGAGAGTTGTCCCCGGTCAGCATGACAACATCGATACCCTTATCTCGCAGCGCAGCAACGGCGGCGGCGGACTCGTCCTTCAGTGTGTCCTCGACGCCAATTACGCCCTCGACGACACCGTTCAATGCGACGAACACCGGCGTGCTACCCCTGACTGCGAGGCCCGCGGCGGACTGTTCCATCTCATCCGTGGACAGTCCCTGTTCCATCATCAGGACTCGGTTGCCAATGGCTACACGTACGCCATCGACAGTGGCCGTCACACACCGGCGCCGGGGAGCACAGCGAAGTCGTGCGCGTCGTGGAGTGGGAAGCCGTGTTCCGCCGTGTAATCGAGTATGGCCTGTCCCAGTACGTGCTCAGAAGCGCGCTCGACCGACGCCGCGAGCGCCATCAGGCGGCCCTCACTAACGTTCGCAGCGTGTATCGAGGTAACGGCCGGGCGTCCCTGGTGATGGTGCCGGTCTTGTCCAGAACGACCACATCGACAGCGTGGGCGCGTTCGAGCGCCTGCGCGGCTACGGATAAGTACAACCATTTTCGGCGCGCCTTGCCGGTGCCGACCATTTATGGCTGGTCGGCGTGGCGAGTACCCATCGCACATGGGCAGGCAATTATCAGCACCGCCACGGCGGTCAGAATGGCGGTCACATAGCTCGGCTCGGGCCGAACGCCAGCCAGACCAGGAACACTATGAGCGCCACTCCTATAACGGCAGGCACGAGTATGCCGAAATAAGGTCGGCCAGTCGCTGAATGGGCGCCTTGGAACCCTGCGCCTCCTCGACGAGCCTGACTATGCTGGAGAGCATGGTATCGCGTCCGACCCGAGTCGCCGTGAAGACCAGCCCTCCCCGTCCGTTAACCGTCGCGCCGTAAACGTCATCCCCGGGGTGCTTCGACACAGGGGCGCTCTCGCCGGTGAGCATCGACTCATCCACAGAGGACGTGCCGGACTCGACAACGCCGTCCACCGGGACTCTCTCCCCCGGCCGGACAATGATCCGATCACCGACGACTATGTCGTCGATCGACACATCGACATGCTGGTCGTCCCTGATGATCCGCGCGGTCTTGGGCTGGAGTCCCATGAGAGCCTGGATTGCATTCGAGGCACGGCGTTTCGCCCTCGCCTCCATAAATCTGCCCAGGAGGACGATGCCTATGATCGCCGTGGAAGTGTCGAAATAGGTATCTACGTCACGGCCGTCAAAGAACGACGATTCCCCAAAGAGGGTTACAGCTACGCTGAACACATAAGCGACTGAGGTACCAACCGCGATAAGTGTGTTCATGTTCGACGTGAAGTGCCGCGCCGCGCTCCACGCCGACGTGTAAAACCCCAAACCGGCCCAGAGCTGCACCGGGGTCGCCAGAGCGAGAAGCACGAACTCCATTCTGAACGGGAGGAGAGTGTGCGCGGTCGGCATCGCCATGAGCACCATGATGACGGCGGCAGAAGCCAGACTGAAAGCGAACTTGACCTTCAGCAGCCCCAGACGCCGGTGAGCCGAGTCCTCGTCCATTTCGTCGCCGACAAGGGCAGTGGCGGAGTAGCCAGAATCCTCAACGGCATGTCGGAGGTCCGCGATTCCTGTCACGCCCTGGACATATTCAACAGTTGCGCGCTCAGTGGCGAGGTTGACGGATGCCGACTCCACGCCCTGCACGCCGGTCAGGGCATTTTCGACATGCGAAACACAAGCCGCGCACGTCATCCCATCTATGCCAAGAGTCACCTTCCGGGTGCCCACCCCGTATCCAGCGTCCTTAAGTGCGTCACTCAGGATGCCCAGATCGACCGGGCTATCTGACTGTCTATTAGATTCGCCGAGCGATAGTGTCGCCTTCTCGGTCGCGAGGTTTACGGCAACATCCTCAACGCCATCCACGGACAAAAGCGCGTCAGAGACATGGCTGACACAGGCGGCGCACGTCATTCCTGTAATCTGAAGTGAGATATGGGACGCAGTTGGTGCTGGCAACGGAATACCACTCAATACGGGTACCTCCGATTGTAGCACGACAGTTGTGGCCCCATAGCGAAGGGGGACTCCCCAATCAGGAGTCCCCCATTCAGCACTGAGCAGACCGGCGTGCGCACCGCAGCTACATGGTGCGCACGACCCCGACGATCTTGCCTCGGACGGACACGTCCTTGGCAGGCACCATGATCGGCTCCATGGTGGCGTTCTCCGGCTGGAGCCGGACCATGTCGCCCTCGATAAAAAACCGCTTGAGCGTGGTCTCTTCGGTGGAGTTCAGCCACGCTGCGACCATTTCGCCGTTGGCGGCCTCAGTGGCTGGCTCGACCAGCACGAGGTCTCCATCCGCGACGAGCGCGTCTATCATGGATGTACCCTTGACGCGCAGCGCGAAGACGTTCTGACGATCTTTGGTGAGGAACGACGGAAGGTCGATGGTGTCCGTGCTGTCTGAAGCATACGAGGGTGCGTCTGGGATCTGCAGTGGTTCACCCGCGGCAATACTGCCCATGATGGGGTATGCTTTGGATGTCCCGCTTGGACCCGCGCAACCCCTCGCCGACGAGCTCAATGCCGCGAGATACCTCAGGCTCCCGCGTCAGATACCCCATTTCCTGGAGCTTGCGCAGGTTGTAGTCGACAACTGAGGTCGAGCTGACCTCACAGCCATTCTGGATGTCACGCACCGTTGGCGGGTACTGATGCTCGTCCATGAACTTCTGGATAAACGCCAAGATGCGCTGCTGCCGCTGTGAGAGCCTGTTTTTCATTTCTAACCTCGCGTACGAATGTTCTGTCAATCAGAGTATCAGACCATATGTACGATGTCAACGTTCAGCGAGCTGCCCTTGGTGACATCCCCGCCCCCAGTCCATATACTTCTCCCACCAGGAGGGGAATCAAATGCAGGATCTGGTAACAGCCGAGTGGACTGACGCGGTAGAGGCCATCGAGCGCTGCTATGAGCTTGGATGGACAGACGGACTCCCGGTCGTACCGCCGACGGTCAACCGCGTGCAGGAGTTCATCGACATCGCTGGGCGTCCTGCTGACGAAGTTCTCGGCTCCATTCCAGAGCGCAGGCGCGAGGTCACCGTCGCCAAGACCGCCGCGAACGCGGTAATGGCCGGCTGCCTCCCCGAATACTTCCCGGTCGTTCTCGCCGCTACCGAGGCGATGCTGGCCCAGGAGTTCAACCTGATAGCCCCCTCGTCCAGCCAGGGGGGCGCCGCAGTGCTCGTAATCGTCAACGGCCCCGTGGTGGACGAGATCGGGATGAACTCAGGCGCCAACCTGTTCGGACCGGGCAACCGCGCCAACGCCACCATCGGGCGGGCGATACGTCTCATCTTGATGAACGCCTGCGCGTCCATACCAGGACTATTCGACCGGACGGTCATCGGACACCCCGGCAAGTACACGTACTGCATCGCCGAGAACGAGACCGACTCCGACTGGCTGCCGCTACACGTCGAGCGCGGCTTCAGCCCGGACCAGAGCGCGGTCACGGTGTTCGCCTCATGGGAGCCGAGGCAGGTGCGCTCGGCGGCCTACTCGCAGGAGGTGGTGCTGGACACGGTTGCCGACGTCGCTTCGGTGCTGGGCTCCTCCCTGGCTTCATCGGACTCTGTGGGAGACGACTCCACGCCGGTCCGGCAGGGCGAGCTGGTGGTCACTATAGGAGGGGCCGCCGACTTCTGGGGGACCTGGACCAAGCGCGACGTTCGCGAGTACCTCCATCCCAGGATTGGACGGTCAATTGCCGACCTGAAGATTGTCAGGGTGCTGGAGGGCGACGTTGGACCAGCGGACTACCAGACCTTCGCCAACTTCGTTCCCGAGCCGGACGACATCCTCGTGGTGAGGGCAGGGTCTCCAGAAGCAACCGGATACCGCTGCTCGGTAATACTGAGCGAGCTGCCCAAGGTGGCGTCGGCTGCGGTGACAAGGGCAGTAGCTTCGGGTCCGGTCTAGCCGCTCGTGGGATCATGAACACGCCCGGCAGGCTGATCGTCGGCCATCAAACGCCAGAACGGCTGCGCGACGCAGTCGACAGCCTGAAGCGCCCTGATCCTAGTGGGCCCCTGGCGCCGGTGACGGTCGTCGGCCCTTCCAACTACGCCAACCTCTCGCTGAGGCACTTCTTCGCACGCACAGGATTCGTGAACGTCAGGTTCATGGTCTTTTCGAGGCTGGCGGAGTTCCTCGGCGCACCGCGCATGGCCCGCGAAGGTCGCACACCTCTTACCCGAGTGATCGAGAGCGCCGCTGTTCGCTCCGTCGCGGCCAACGCGTCGGGACCACTTGGAGACCTGAGCAGGCATCCATCTACTCTGCACAGCCTGAAACAGTCGTTCCGGGAACTGCGAAGTATCCCGCCCTCCTCGCTCGACGCTCTCGCCAGGAGCAGCGACCTTCAGTCCGAGACTGTCAGGTTATACAGGCAGTTCAAACGAGACACATCCAGATTCTACGACGATGAGGACCTCGCCAGCGCCGCCGCCGAGTCCGTTGACGACCAGCCGGCCTCCGGGTTCGATGATCTCGGCACGATCGTATTCTACGCACCGCGGGACATCACACCAGGACAGCTCAAGCTGATCGAGGCGCTGTCGAGGCGAGAACGCTGCGTTGTAATGCTCGATCAAAGTGGCGACCCCATCGCTGATGGTTATGTGTACAGGCTAGTCAACCGGCTGTCGTCTGCCCCAGGAACGCCGCAGACTGACGTGACGGACCCTCTCCCTCAGGGAGCTGACAGGGATAGGTACTCGTACTTTTCACCCTCACCCCAGCCCTCTCCCTCAGGGAGAGAGGGTCTGTTGGGTTTACCTGCCCCTGTCAGCGCTGACGGAGAGGGGGCCGATACCCACCTGGTGATCGCGCCCGACCCGAACCAGGAGATCAGGTGGGTGATCCGGGACGTCATCCGTAAAGCTCGCGGGAGCACGCCGTTCAGCCGGATGGCGGTCCTGTATCGCAAACCCGACTACGGCAAGATCGTCGCCGAGGAGATGGAGCTTGCGGGCGTACCAGTAGCAGGCCCGGACCAGACCACTCTCGCTGAGACCGCCGTGGGCAGGACGTTAATCGGCCTAATGGAGCTTGCCGATGGCGACTTTCAGCGAGGTCTCGTCACCTCATTGCTGACCGGATGCCCTGTCAGGTCACCGGATAGGTCGATCCGGCTCAACCCGAGCAGGTGGGACAGACTGTCGAAAGAGGCGGGAATCGTCAGAGGCATCGGGCAATGGAGAGACAGACTTGAGAAGTACGCTGCAAGGCAAGAGGAGTCGATCTCAGACCCCACGATGACGTCTGAGATGTCCGAGGGCAGGCTACGAGGCATCAGGGCACAGGCCGAGTCGGCGCAGGAGTTGCTCGCATTCGTGGACCGACTGTACGACGACCTACAGCCTCCTGCGCAGGACGCCTCATGGGTCGACTTCTCCGAGTGGACACGGAAGCTTGTTGACGATTACGTGTCGAGAGGATCAGGAACCCCTGAACCTGAGCTGAACGCGCTGGAGAAAGTCCAGGACATTCTGTCCGAGCTAACTGCTGCGAGCACGGTCGCGCCGCGGCCAAGCTTCCAGACGTTCCGAGAGGACCTGTACGAGGCTCTGCAGATTCCAACCGGACGTCTGGGCGAGATGGGCAAGGGAGTGTTCGTAGCGTCGTTCCGGATCGCAGCCGCCATGCGGTTCGACGCCGTGTACCTCGTCGGCATGATCGAAGGCGCCGCGCCGCCCGCGGCAAGGGACGACCCGCTTATTCCGAGTCCGCCCGTCAACGCGCCGGAGGCTCGGCAGCCGGATTCGAGATGCAGCAGGACACGCGGGCCAAAGAGAGACGCGACTACCTGTCCGCGCTCGGCAGCGCTCCCGACAAGACCCTCTCAGTCTCACTGTCAGACCCATCCGCGGGACGGGAGCAGCACCCGTCCCGGTGGATGCTGGAAGAAGCCAGCAATTGAACGGTCTGCGTGTGACAGCCTCCGAACTCAAGCGCATGGGGGACAGGGACTGGCTGACCCTTATTCCCTCGGCAGAGTCGGGTCTACTCGATGGCGATGCAACAGATGCCGCGGACGTTCTCGAATACGACCTCCGCCACCTGCTGCGCTGGCGGACGATGGGCCAGGGTGTAGCGCGACACCCGTTTGCGGCGGGCGCGCCTCTTGGAAGGGCTCTACAGCTCGGCAGCGCGCGATATAGCTCGAACTTCACCGAGTGGGATGGCAACGCCTCATCAATAGCTCGCGAGTCCAGGTACAGGAACGACACCATCAACAGGACTCACTCCCCGACCCGGCTCGAACGGTGGGCTGCCTGTCCGTTCAGCTACTTCCTCGGCAACGTGCTCAGGATCGGGTCGATCGAGACTCCTGAGGACATCTACTCGATATCTCCCCTTGAACGCGGCAGCCTGATCCACAAGATTCTGGATGCGTTCATGAGGAGTGTGGCCGAGTCGGGAACGATGCCCAAGCCGTACGAGCCCTGGAGCGCCGACCACAGATCAGCCCTCTTCAGGGTCGCCCACGAGCATTTCGCCCGGGCCGAATCCGACGGGGTCACAGGAAGGCCGGTGATGTGGGAGCTCGAAAGGGCACTGATACTTGCCGACCTCGATATCTTCCTGGAGCGGGACGCCGCACTGAGGGCCAGGTTTGGCGTGACGCCGAGCGCGTTCGAGGTCGGGTTCGGCCTTTCAGGGAGCCCGTGGCAGGAGGCCGTATGGAGGCTGGACAGCGGCGAACAGGTCCGCTTCAGGGGTATGATCGACCGCGTCGATATGTCGCCTGACGGCAGCACCGCTCTTGTTATCGACTACAAGACCGGAAGCGCGCGTCCGTACAACGGCCTCGAGAACGACCCCACGGATAGGGGCAGGCGACTCCAGCTTGGCGTGTACGCGCTCGCCGCTCAGGGGAGCTTGGAGCGAGCAGAGAATGTCCGTTCCGCGTACTGGTTCGTGACAACGCGGGGCACGTTCGCGCTTGCACCGAGAGAACCTGTGGACGGAAGCTCAGCCGAGGTACGCAGCAGACTCGGCGAGGTGGTTGGCAGGATCGTATCCGGTATCAGGAGCGGCGTGTTTCCGGCCAACCCCGGCGAGCGCAACGCCCGCTTCGGCTTCGAAAACTGCGGGTTCTGCGACTTCGACTCGCTCTGCCCCTCCCGGCGGGACCGGATATGGGAGAGGAAGCGCGACCATCCGGCGCTGGCAGGCTACCGGGACCTGATAGAAGAGTCGTGACGTGACGACGAAGTTCACACCCATAGACCAGGCCGCCCGCGACCGCATCCAAGGATCGCTCCGAGAGACAATGTTCGTCGAGGCCGGCGCGGGCACCGGTAAGACCACCAGCATGGTCGGCAGGGTCGTTAACCTGATCGGCTCAGGCGTCACGACCGTGGACAGGGTAGCAGCGATCACGTTCACGAACTCCGCAGCCTCCGAACTCCAGGAACGCATCAGGGAGGAGCTTGAAGGGGCTGCATCCGACGGAGATGCCGACCCCACCTGGCGGCAGCTCTGCGGGCAAGGCGTCGAGGACATCGACAGGGGCGACGTTCACGACCCTACACAGCTTCGCCGGAGCGATTCTTCGCGAACGTCCGCTTGAGGCAGGGCTTCCCCCGTCGTTCGAGACAATGGACCAGGTCGCCAGCGACCTCGACTTCGACGAGAAGTGGAACGAGTGGCTCGACTGGGCATTGGACGATGCCGCAAACATTCCGACACTGCCTATCGCACTATCGCTCGGTCTGCGTCCGTCTCACCTACGCCAGATCGCGCTCCAGTTCCACCGCAACTATGACCTCCTGGAAGGTGTCGACTTCGACGACAGGCAGATGCCCGCGTTCGATTCTGCCCAGAAGCTTGTAGCTGGTGTACAGGAGTTTGAGCGACTGTGCAGCTTCTCCGAACTCCAGGAGAACGACCAACTCTACCAGCACGTCCAGTCCAAGCTGTCGTCTATCCGGCAGCTGTCTGAGATGGACCCAGGATCGCCCGCTGCGCTCGGAATGCTGTCTAGGCTCATGCCGATTCGCATGACGCGCGGACGTCAGGGCGACTGGCTCAACGACTCGGCCTCAGGCGTAAACGCCTGCAAACTGCTCAAGGAATATCTGCAAGAACACCACGACGCTGTCGCCGAGGAGCTAGACCACGCAAGGGACGTATCGCTTCCCCCGATTCTCAGCGCTTTGCGCGACTTCGTAGTCGGGTATGAACAGGAGCGTAAACGCGAGGGCCGCGCCGGTTACCACGACCTGCTGGTATGGGCGCGGAATCTGCTTAGAGACAACATAGACGTCCGCGACCACTTCAGGCAGCGGTATACGCACATTCTGCTCGATGAGGTCCAGGACACCGATCCGATTCAGACGCAGATCGCCATGTTCCTCGCCGAGGATGTTCTGGATGGCACACCGCAGGAATCGCGTCCGACGGACTGGCGTCATGTGACACCGGCAGACGGCAGGCTGTTCGTCGTCGGCGATCCGAAGCAGTCCATCTACCGGTTCCGAAGGGCTGACGTCCGACAACTCAACATCCTCAGAAGACAGATGAGCCAGACGTCGGTCCACCTGGACCAGAATTTCCGTTCCCACCGCCCGATCATCGAGTGGGTGAACCACCTGTTCGGTAGTTGGATGGAGGCCAGCGAGTCGCAGGCCGAGTACGTGAGCCTCCGACACAGGTGGGAAGCCGCAACGGACTACGAATGGGCCCCGTGGGTTTGGTATCTCGGCGACGAGTTCGACTCGCCGATCGGCGAGATCAGAGCACTGGAGTGTCAGAGCATCGCGGCCGCTCTTGAGCAAGTTCACCGCAACCGCTGGCAGGTCCGATCCGGAGAGATAAACGGCGTACCGGACTATCGACCCGCAAAGTACTCGGACATCTGCATCCTGATGCCTACGCGCACAGGACTGAGGGATCTGGAGGTCGCACTCGACGACGCGGAAGTACCATACAGGCTCGAGGGCAGTTCGCTGATCTTCGATACGCAGGAGGTCCGCGACCTGCTCAACTGCCTCCGCGCGATAGACGACCCCGGCGACGAGGTAGCGATAGTGGCCGCGCTCCGCTCCCCCGCCTTCGCCTGTACCGACGTGGACCTGCTCCGGTACTACGAATCAGGACGTCGGTTCGAATATACCGCATCAGGTGCGGCACAGGCTCAGGCACGTTCGAGTCCAATTAACGGCTCCGTAGCCGAGGGGCTGGACGCACTCTGCGACTACCATGAGCGCAGGATTGTAGAAGACAACGGTCGCGGCTGGCTGATCCTGATATGCTCTCGTCCGGGACCGACGCAGTGATGAAAAAAAGAAACGCCGCA